CAGCATTAACACCTATAATAATGTCAACATGGAAATCCAACGCAGAATCACTCTTGCCAACAAGTGCTGCTTTGGACTGAGTAGGCAATTCAGGAGTAAAGTCCTCTCTCGTCGCACGAAAACCACACTTTATAAGTCACTCAACATGCCCGTTCTGGTATATGGCGTAGAAGCATGGGCAATGACAACAACCGGTGAGGCGACTCTTGGAGTATTTGATAAAAATATTTTGCGGAAGATTTACGGGCCTTTACGCGTTGGGGACGGTGGGTACCCCAAACGATGGAACAATGAGCTGTATGCGCTTTACAACGACATGAACATGGGTAAGCGAATTAAAATACTGTGGCTCCGCTGGCTTGGCCATGTCGTTCGAATAGACACCGGCGCTCCAGCTCTGAAAGGATTCAACTCCAAACCCGATGGTGGTAGCAGAGGAAGAGGGAGGCCCCCACTGAGATGGAAAGGCCAAGTGGAGAAGGAATGGGCTTCACTTGGCATTTCCAATTGGCGTCATTTCAAAGCTCTCAATAATTTCAAATCTGTCTGAAGGCACTGTGAAAGATAAAATATCGAGGACTTGTATTCAACACCCCCTATCTGCAACTTTCAAAAAAACTACCTTGTGATGATAGAACCCATCTGGGACTTACCTGTCATCATTGATATTAATTATGACTTTGCAATTTAATAGTAAACTCTTCTGTCAAGCGTTATACACGGTCAGCATGAATATCACCAATGACAGTTAAGTTCTAGGTCGATTTTTGTATCAGAATGGCATTTTTGTGAAAAATGCAGATAGAGGGTATTGAATGTAAGTCCTCGATATGTTTTTCTGTAAAAGAATTTATCAACTACAATAATCATGGATTTGGCCCTGTTGGATATGGGGGTGAAATAACACAAACGGCAATAACGCAAATTTGTGTTATTTCCCAATTCAATGTCAAATAACACAAATTTGCTTTATTTCATTTCTCGTTAAGCAATAAGACCAACTTTTAAGATTAGCAATTGAGTAATAAAGTAAAATAGTGCACTTACTTATGTAGGTAGTCACCCAGTTACATTTGACAAAAAGTAGTACATGAGCAAGTTAAATGGGCGTATTTGTAAGTATACAATTTTGAAAGCGCCCATCGTCGCGGCGGTCTGCGTTCGCTTGACGTCCTGCCCCAGTGAAAACAACATCGCAAAAAAATATAGCAAAAAGCTTTTTTTTCTTAACAGCGGTCGCCCCTCGGCAGGCAATGGCAAACCTCCGAGTGTATTTCTGCAAACAGCTTCTCATAAAAATAAAACCGCCGTTCGGAGTCGGCGTAAAACTGTAGGTCCCTCCCCTTTGTGTGACAACATCAAGGCGCTCGCCACAAATCGGAGGAGCAGTTTGGCCAAACATTAACATATGTGTAAGCGTCAATCTCATAACCTGGTAACAAAGTATTGCCCCGTGAAATATGCAATACCAGAATTTGCACAATTCTTCATAGCTGAATTGCTGAATGTTTTAACTGCATTACCAACGTACCTAGAATCGCGGTGACAAGAGCTGGTAACATTTTTTGGTAATAAAATTTTCCGGTTACAAAATTTTCGGTAACGTGCAGAATAGACCTGTTAAAAGTGAAATTAAACAAATTTTGCGTTATTGCCGTTTGTGTTATTTCACCTACCGCCCGGCCCCGACTTTAATTATCCTCGCTTTATTTACTCTTACTGACTTATTAATATAATTTCTCTTGCAGGCCCTTGGACCGAGAGCGTCAGTATGTATACAATTTCATGGTGGTCGCAACTGATGGAGGTCGTTACAGTACACGCTCTGCAAGTGTGCCCGTGCAAATAGTCGTCGATGACGTGAATGACAACCGGCCCATCTTCGGGCGTTACCCTTTCAGAGCACAAGTACCTTCACTCGTTCAGCCTGGCCAAATGCTCCTACAAGTCGGTGCTACCGACGTCGATACCGGCATGAACGCTGAAGTTCTTTATTCACTGGGCAACAATGCTGACGCAGCGACACGCAATAAATTCCGAATTAACCCCAACACTGGCGTGGTGAGCGCTACACAGAGCCTGGCTAGTGAATCAGGTCGGCTGCTGCACATTGAGGTGGTGGCACGGGACAAAGGCAATCCGCCGCGCGTTACCCTCGGCCTCATAGAATTGCGCGTAGGTGAAAAGGCAGTCGGCACACCGGTGCTACGTTTCCAAAACGACACTTTTCGACTAAAGTTGCGTGAAAATATGGCAGTGGGCATGAGTGTGCTGCAGGTTTCAGCAGTGCGGACCGATGTCCGACGGCAGCAGATCCACTATTCCATTGGCACTGGGAATGAGGATGGTGTGTTCACAATAAACTCTACCACTGGTGAGATAAAAGTCGGTAATGCAGCCTACTTTGACTATGAACGCTATATAGGTATCGCATTGGAAGCTACGAGAGTAAGTGGCAGCTATACATATCGTGGGCGTGCCATGTTATATGAAGGTGAAGAAGAGTTGGGGGCCACCGGTGTAACCAGTTCCGTAGAGGAACTGTCTGATAATCAGCGATCATCTCGTAACCAGCGCGAATTACAGACGTCTGCCGCCAAAGAAAATAAACAATTTTCTTCCTCCGCCACTCATCCGCATGAATTGCGTTTGGTTCTCGTCGCTCGCACCAGTGCCACACCCGTGCTCTACGGCTATGCAGAGTTGATCATCGAGTTGGAAGATGATAATGACAATAGTCCACACTTCACGCAATCACAATACTCGACAACGGTATGGGAGGGCAACAATAAGGGCACATTCGTGGTGCAGGT